GACATCGGAGGGGACTAAAGGCAGTTCAACTAATCAATAATGAACAGTCCACAAGATCGATTACTTGTTTCAGCCCTAATTAAAAATATGTTCTTTGTAGAAATGTGTTTTTAGTATTTTAATAGACATACTTGAGTAGTAAGCAAGCGGGTGTATTCTATATTACAATATATAACCTAAGATGCCTGTGTTGCTGTTGGCATATTCTACAGCATAACACTTCTATTCTAAGTAAGCCTACTATTTTATGTAACTGCCAACTTATTGTAAACATCCTGTCCCATCTTTTCTTGGCGTGAAATAATGTGTGTAATAACTTGCAATATTTTATCTGTGAGATATTCCAGAGCAGACAGGATAACAACTCTCTCTTTTCTCCTTTGTAGTGTCTCTGGGATTTTTTGATGATATCATTATTCCTCCAGAGTCCTTGCAGCAGCCAGCTAAATTGTATCCTTTACATAAAATCTGTATAAATGTATGAGTGGATAATGTCTCTGTAATGTTTCCTGTTGTTTAAAGGTAACTCTAGTGCAGTGTTAAGTTGTGTATGGTTGGGATTATAGGTGAGAGGCTGTGCCGTTTAGCTGATTCACCTGCAGGTCCTGTCATTCAGCATTTGAAACAAGCCCATCTTTAGTTCTACCCTGTCTATCATCTTTCACTATGTAAATTATTCATGAGATTTCACCCTAAAAATCAGAGTGACCTAATCAGGAGGCTGATGTGGAGCAGCAATAGTGCTTGGAGAAGGGCTGGACTAGGGTGTATATTGACACCTGACTAGTGTGTTTAATCTAGAATTCATTTAGGATTGTTTTGTTTATTTATAGGGAATGTTGCCTTTAAGTCTATATATAATGTGCTATAAATTTAATTTAAACGTGAAAAGGCATTTACTCTAATGTTAGCCACTTAAGTGCCAGGTGCCTTATAAAACATTGCTGGGATTATACTTGATTTTCCCAGTGATGTTTTAAAATTGCACCTTGTCCTAATGTCTGAATTAAGTGTTGGCAGAGTTTAATGCTCAAACCAATGGGAGCCACTGTCCAGCTCTATGCTGTAGCTCTGATTCAGTCAGGCTTGTGACCCTAGTACAAAGCTTTCGTATAAAAGTACTCGATAGCAGCCCAATGAAACACAAATGTGAATGTAAAGAGGAAGGAGCTGGGTGGGGAAGGGGTGAAACCATCGCCAGACCGTCGCATCAGAAGATAATAGAAAACCTGGTGGTCTTACCCAAGAAGAGAACCAAAGGAGACAAATATCCAATGGGTAAAATGTTAAATGCATTCATTTAAAAAAAAAAAAACATGGTGAAATGATTTTTAATGCTCTAGATGACAGTTGCATTTACTGCATGAGTGTCAAACACTTGTAAATGTAAATGTGCACAATATCTTTGGTAGTTTTAATTATCCCAAACTTGTGAACATTATGCTATTTTCTGTCTGTAGACACTTGATTTTATCTTTTACAATAGCAATTTACTTAGTGTAGGAGTGCACCTCCTGCTGGGAGATAGAGGAATAATTACAAATACCTTTATTCCTCTTTCTCCTCTAGCCAGGCGAGCACTTAACCCATGCAATGCTGGGTGCATTCCGCTGCATAAGTAAATTAACAGCAGCCGAGGGTGGTGCTTTAAATTTAAAACGCAAACATTCTTTGAACTTTTCCATTCCACTGCAGAAAATCATACTTTTGTGATATGCTTTTAGACAGATGACTTTGTTGATTATGTTTGGTGGTAAATATCTTGGACTGTACACATTTCGTAAAAGTGTCACTGGGGAAATTTTGCAGAAAACCTGGAAATCCGTTACGTATAGTTAAGTGTTTACGTATTACGTAAAGTGAATATAAAGAGGAAGGAGCTGGGTGGGGAAGGGGTGAAACCATCGTCAGACCGTCGCATCAGAAGATAACAGAAAACCTGGTGGTCTTACCCAAGAAGAGAACCAAAGGAGACAAATATCCAATGGGTAGCCCTACACCTCCAGAGTTTCGGAGTCTTGGGGACCGCAAACTGGAATACTAGTCAAAGAAATAAAAATCTGTCCAGGTGTTCCAGTTATTTCGTAACTTCTTCTTTTCTCTGTTTGAACAGGGTAGCCATCAATTCTTCCATATGCCAGAGTTCAACAATCCTCCCAAGCCACAGAGACATGGATGGGAAGGGAGGTCTGTTTCCAAAGGAGTGAGATACAGGAGTGGGCTACAGATAGCATGTGGTTGGTCATGGAGTGCTAATATTAATAAGGTACCCTTGAAAAGATATAAAGTATCTCCAAAGGATTTTGACCCAAATCGACCCCCGGTGACTTGACGAAGCAACTATCGCACATCTTCCCAAAAGGGACGCAAAAGTGGGCAGCTCCAAAAAATGTGCAGAAATGTACCCGGGTGGGTAAGACCCCTCCAACAAAGATGGGAAACAGAGGGATCAATCTTGTGGAGAAGGACTGGAATTCTGTAACATCTACTGAGGAATTCAAAGTGTTGTTCCTGCACAGTGCTTGCGATGGAAAAACAGTGGGCTACTGTAATGGCCCTAGATTTCTGGTTTCGGAAGTTAAAAGAATACAGAAGTCTTCTTTCCATTTACATAGGTAAGGGGGATAAAGTTCTCCGAAAGCGTAATAAGTAGTTTGTGAAGCAGAGATAACTAATCTAAAACCAGAAAGTCTGCTTGACAGCTACTCAAAGGAGGTAAGGAATCTGGACAGGGCAGCACTACACGGGACAGCCTTCAAAGAGGTCTAAGCTGGAAGGACGACTAAAAGTCCAGGGTAGGGTCGACAATCGACTGAATTGCAGGTAGGGTCATCCATCCAGGGTCAAAAAGTGAGACAACCTGAATTTCCTAGAAGGTAAGAGACGGAGGTTTTTGTTGTCCAAGCCCGCAGGAAAGTCGCAGTCCCCCAATATCGGCGTCGAAGGGGATGGAAAAGGGGAGTTGCAGGAAAAGGGGAGATCCGTTGCAATGGAAGTGTCTTCTTTACCACCTCAAGGGTCGGACCTATGGTTGGGTGGGATAACAAATTCCTAGAATGTGCAGAAGAAAGCCATGGCAGTCCAGCAAGGGAAACCGGCGTAAAAGTTTGACTATCGGCAAAGTCTAAAAGAGATACAGCACCTGAGGAAGAGTGGTCATCTTCAAAGCACTCATCTAGTAAACCAGGTCAGAGTGAAGGTTCGCCAGTGTTGAAGCTCCAGCCAAATTTTCGGCAGAGGGGGGGAGCTGTGACACATCCGACGTTAGACTTATCCCCAAATCTCTTAAAGACTACAGAGCCCGCTCTGGTAGTGGTGTTGCGGGCTTCCCTGCCAGGGATGACGGCCAACTGGTCAGGAAGAACTGTTAGGGATGTGGGGTAGCAACCGGTTAGTCAGTATTTTGGAAAATAATTTCAGATCCACATTCAAAAAGGTAATTGGCCGATAATTTGCACAATTTGTCAAATCCTAGTCCGGCTTGGGGGATGACGGAGATGTGAGCTCAAAGAGCATCCAACGGTAAGGCTTGCCCCTCCGTAATCAAATTGTGCGTTTTGAGAAACCAAGGCGTCAAGACCTCTTTGAAGGGCTTCTAGTAGGTAAGGGTAAGGCCATCCTGCCCAGGAGATTTCCCTGTTTGAGCCAAAGAGAGAGCTGCAAAAAGTTCACCCTCCGTAAGTGTATGTTCCAGGGAAGACGCCACTTCTGAAGGAAATTTAGGGAGCCCAGAAGATTGTAAGAACTGGTCAATTAGAAGTTGTTTGGAGGGAAGAGAGGCCAAATTGGCAGGAGACATATTTATAAAGGGCTCCATAAAAACATAATTCTTGTGCGTCTTAGATCGAGGACCTCTCAACGCTTTAGTGAGCATTCTGCTTGGTTTGTTAGAATATTCAAAGAAAGCCTGTCAAACCCGCAGCAGTTTGGTGGAAGTACGGCTAAATAAGAAAGTTCAAACGCTTCCGCAATTCCTGAAGTTCCAAGAAAGCTGATAAAGCCGAAGATTACTTATGCACAACCTCCAAAGTCTGAATTCGAGCAAGCAGGGTGTGATATTGGGTAAGGCATTGATGCTTGAGGCGGGAGCCATGTTTAATAACCCCCTCACTGTACATTTATGAGCCTCCCACACCACAGATGGAGAAACACCAGCAGTAGCATTCATCTGGAAGAAGCATGGTAGCTCATTGGAGACCTCTCGTAAAGTGTCCGGATCTTGAAGCAGAGCCTCATTTAGACGCCAGGAAGCAATCCCACGTCCCCTACAGAGGAGACTTAGAAAAGATGAATAGGGGCATGATCCGAAGGAAGAATCTGATCAATGGACACAGAGATGACGTTGGGGAGGTCCTTATGCTGGAGAAAAATCGTAATCAATTAGAGAATAAGTTTGGTGGGAGGGAGAATAAAAGGTGTAGTAATTTTCCGTTGAGTGACGATAGCGCCAAACATCAACCGAATGGCAAGATGGAGTTCAGCTTTCCAATGATTAAGGTAAAAGAGGTGGGCAGATTCCCTTGAGAGGTCAACAGGAGGATCATATGCAAAACTCCACCCATAAAAACCCTCTGCATGTATTAAAATCAACTGAATGAGGTGTTGAAGAATGGTGAGCTGATCTGAATTCGGACGATAAACGTTAAACGTCACTAAGGTGTCTTCCATCATAACCTTAACCACAAGTGAGCGGCCATTGTCATCTGACAAATGGGAGATGAATTTCCAAGGGACCGAGCTGGAAATCAGAATACAGAACCCCTCGCCCTAGCAACTGGAGATGCAGAATAGTACGCAAAAAAAAAGTATCCGTCAAACTAGGTTTTTTCTCCTTTTTTAAAGTGAGTTTCTTGTAGGAAGACCACCTGGCAACGCAGCTTAGCATAGTCATGCAGTAGACTAGAGTGTTTTTTTTGGGGTCGTTGTGAGGTCAACTTCAATAGCGACATATTAAGGACAGGTCACCTTTTTAAGCTGGTAACTCACTGAGAAAGAGGACTAGTTCCCCCTACTAAAAAGAAAAACTTGCAAAAATATAAAGCAAGAACCAAAATTAGTTTACCACACTGCCCCTACCTGAGTGGGAGTAAAACCTATCTGGGGCGGAAAAAATGAAACGACATAGGGGAGTTGCAACCACCAGGTTAATGAATAAAATCTAAATATGAAACCACTCAACTCCTAGAAGAAGACCGAAATATTAAACGTAGGTAGGGAGCAGGAGACTGGAGATTACAGAGTTAAAAAATCAGGGCCATGGGCAAAAATAAAGAGCATTGTGGCTTTGATTATCCCACATTGCAAGACAATAACCAAACATCAGAGCATGAAAAGCGAAAACAAACAATCCACAGTATGTATCGCCCATAATGGAGACATCACAGGAGTAAGCCCTATAGAGGTGACGCACCGTGAAGCAACCGCAAGCTAGAAGCCTACTACAATGACCAGATCCAGCAAGGATTATAAAGGGTAAGCAACAGTTCAAAGACAGAAAAGTCACTGGAGATCCAATTCACAGCTCCTGTGGGAAGGAATATACAGCACCCCAACATTGGGTCAAAGAGCCAGGGAGCCCAATCCAAGCCTGCAGGAAGGAGCACCTCACCATTTGAAAGACTATATTGCGGAAGAACAATTTAATCTTCGCAAGCTGATCCAGGGGAAACGCGTTCTGGAGGGGACAAGGGTCTGAATCTCTGCTGTCGTCCTCTGTGGGTTGGGAGGCAGAGAAGGATAAAGGAGAAGTGTCCTCAAAGACATGCATCCAATTGGGAATTGCTATTGCATTCACCTCCAAAAACTAGAAAAGCTCAGTGTTGCTCCGGAGTGTATAATGCAAAAGATCGGTCACCTGTACGGACTAGGAGATGAAAGGGAAAGCCTCATCTAACTCCAACATAATGGATAAAGTCCAATAAAGGCTTTAACCCTTTCGCTGCCAAGGACGTACGTCGTACGGAGCTACAAAAGTGCTTCCAGCTGGCCAGCTCAGTACGTCGTACGGACCTGGCATTTACAGTTCTACTATAAGCTGATGGTCGCTTTAGCGACCATCAGCTTATAGTAGAACTGTTCAGCAGACTGTCCCCTTTAAATTAATAGCTGTCATCAGCGGCTCACAAGCCGCTGATGACCGCTAATGTTAAAAATACCGGTCTCCATGTACAAAATGTTCAAGGGTGGTAGCAACATTGGCGATAAACTGTTTAAAATTAACTCCATTACAAAAACTAGAGGCCACCACCTAAAATTGGTGGAAAAAAAATTCCAGCACTAGGGGCGAAGCGGGTTCTTCACAGTAAGATCAGTTAGGGTCTGGAACTCACTGCCACAGGCTGTGATTTCAGCAAATAATGTGGAACGTTTGGACGATTTCTTAACCACTTGCCGTCCTCCCGTTGTAAAAAAACGGACGGACGGCACTGCAGCATTGGCGGGTTGCCGTCTCCAGACTGCATTTTTCTTCTGCTCGCGCGCGCCCCCTAGCAGGCGTGCATGGGCAGAAAAGACCGTTCTGTCCCCAAAAAAGGGTATAAAATTCATTTCAGTACAGCGTTGCATGACGGAATAAATGTCAGTCAAAGTGCCGCAGCGCTGAATACTGAAAAATGGCCTGGATGGGAAGGGGGTTTAACACCGCGGATGTCAACTGGTTAAGGGACTGCAATATACAGGGGTACAGGTACTCCTAGAATGAGATCCTAATAGGTTGGACTTGATGGACATGTGTCTTTATTCAACCTCAAATACTAATGTAACTATGTAAGGCTGTTCGGTGCTTTGAATATTAAACTACTGACTCATCTCTCCATACAATGGCTTTTCTTTAATGTGTCCACTTAATGCTGTTGGATACATTCTTTTGTTAGTAGATTCATTTTGCAGAATATATTCTGCCACACCAATATATTATAAATGAGGACTCTATTTCAAACGCTTTATGAAGAGTGTGTAGTATAGATGGGTAATTTCCTTAACCCCTTCGTGACTGACGACGCCAGCATCTGGGCTGTTTAAACAGACTCCCGGCGACTTTTGCCG